TTTTTTTTTTTTTCTACCAGAAAGAGGCAAAGGATTGAGTGAGCTTTGAGATAACACCTTGTGAAAGAAGGAAGCAGAACATAATATAGATTGGCATTACAGTGAGAACTGTTTTGAGGAGCACCTTTTTGCTTGCAAAAGATAAGAACTTGTTTAACCAATTTAAAATTGTTTCTTCCACTGCTAGCTGGATAAACCTGAAAGTTTCAGCTTTGTCTTCCAATTCCTAGGCAAACCAAGGTATCTTGAAGAATGGTGTATTGAAATACCCAACAATGTTTGACAGACAAAATTTTGGATAAATGATGGAGTATTTTTATTGGAAAAAATTAGATTTTTAAAGGTTTACTTTTTTACCTGAAATGAGCTGGTATTTGTGGAGAATTTGAAGAATAACAAGGGCATGCTTGTGGTCAACTTGAGCAAATAAAAGGGTGTCACCTGCAAAGAAAAATTGAGAAAAGAAAGGACCAAACTTAGAAATTATAAGACCCACAAAGTTCCCTCTCTGAATTTCATTTTCAATAAGGAATGGAAAAGTTTTTGAGATCAGAATAATAAATAAGGAGACAGTGGGTCTCCTTTTCTTATGCCTCTTGAAGGCTTAACAAACTCTGCAACACTTCCATTGATGTTAAAGAAGAAGGAAGGTGGGGAGATGCAAGAAAGAATTCATTTAACAAAAGAAGCATAAAATTCCAGTTTGATCATTATCATCTAACACATTCTCATTCTACTCTGTGAATGACTTTTTCCATGTCAAGTTTAATAACCATATATCATTTTTTGCCACTTCTATGTCTGTTTAAGAAATAAATTGCTTCATGGGCTAGGACAATGTTATCAAGAATTTGCATATCTTGGACAAAAGCAGTATGGTTCTCACTTATGCAAAAATGCATTAAAGACTTCAATCTTTTAGCTTGGAGCCACACTACAAAGATTGATAGGTCTAAATTGAGAAATAATTTCAAAATGGTTTATTTTTTTGTATAGGAGTGGCTAAAGTGCGGATTATGCTTTCTAAATTTGGCATGATTAAAAAAAAAAAAAGAAAAAAAAAACTAGACACCATGGAAATAATATCGTTACTGAAAAGAGGCAAAAATAATAGAAGAATGAGGAAGTCATACCTTGGATGCCGCGGACCTTATTTGGGTCAATGCTGAATAGGGTCTCCTCGATCTCTTCAGAGTCCACTATCCCAATAAACTCCATATTCATCTGTTCAGTGACTACCTCATTCAGATCTAGCAGCAGCATGTTACCCACTGTAGATCCTTCAGAGGTAAAGAGATTTGTGTAGAACTCTTCAACACAACCTACTATCTATTTATTGCTTTTGCAGATAGTCAAATCTTCCTTGGTAAACATGGAAATAGAGTTAACTTTTTTTCTCTGAATTATGTTGGCATGGAAGCACTTTGAATTCTTGTCAACCCCCCCC